TCGGGGATAATTAGTCACAGAATATCTTAGAATTATAGGATTGCTTATAAATTGAGTTAATAAAATTTCTTTACAGATAGACCAATTGCGAAACTTAGTGACCGCGCCTTAAACTGCACGAAAACTAGGCTTATTATGCAAAAACAAATCATTCTGCTATATTTTTATATGGCGAAAGATGAATTTCAGTGTTTGAGACGCGTTTTTATGGTAATCTCTTCATTTTTTTTTCAATATTTTTGTTTTGACTATGTAAATCTTTATTAAACTTGTTCATAGATTTAGTCTTACTTCAAATTTCATTGTTTTTTGCGGCGTGCGAGGCAAAGTTTTGCTGTTTTTCGCCGTCCGATAAAAGAAGCAGATTATACCAGAGAAAGAATCAGGTATTTTCCGTCTGTTTTATTAATACATTTCAAAGAATAAGTTGTAACATTGATTAATTTTGTTTCAGTTGTAATATAATAGCAAGTTTTCGGTTTTAACTTTAAAAATATGAAAGTAAATGTCGGGCAAAATTTGTAGAAATTTTATGTTATTATCCTTTGACAAAATCGTTTTTTCTCGCACGAAGTCTAAAAAAATCTGGGTAGAAAGAGTTATATTTTAGTTTGTTAAGTTATACTGGCTATTTTATTTGCATCTTGATCAGATTTTAAAGTCTAGATTGATCTTTTCCATATGTTTGTTCCATCGCATGCTAAAACAACAACGAAATATCTCTCCAAAGCGGGTAAAAATATAGTGGGAAATCGATGTTTAGATAAATTTAACAAATATTTATATAACCTAGCACGAAATATTAAGAAAAGATCAAAGAGATTCAAGAAAAAACACTTTAAAAACCCTAAAATTCACTTTTCGTTATATAAAAATATAGAAATTGTTTTGTTTTTGACCAATAAGCCTCGTTATCGTGCAGAATGAAGGCGCGGCCACTAAGTTTCGCAATTGGTCTATTGTATGAATTTTCTTCATTTAGCATACATAATTTTGTACCTATGTCATATATAACTATTATTCTGTGTGTTTTTATTATAAAAAATTGTGGCTTTCTGACAGTTGATTGCGGTATACGTAGAACTACAATCTGAACATTCTTTGTCATATCATCAAATATAAACAAAGTGACTATACAGCGGGCAGCCGGGTATTTAGCAAACTGCAGTGTGCCGGCCATATATAGTGACTATAGTTAAATATAAAAATGTTGGTGTGCGGTAACTTTTTCGAACATGCTGTTGGTGTATTACGGTAAAGGCGCTGTGTGCGGGAAGTGAAACATAGTCCGGGTCTAGTTGCATGTGTATTTTTAAACTTTTAGTATTTTTAAACTTTTCCCCGCCCTTTCTAACTCTGAGGTTAGGGTTAGAGAAGGGGTTGGAATTGGTTTATCGGCTTATAAAAATTCAACTTTAACTAAAGTCACTACATAGCCATAGCAGTTTACTAAATAGTTGGCTGCGGTTGTATGGTCACTTCGAAATAAAAATGTTTAATCAATAATTGTGAATGAAATTTTTTCATAGCAACCATGTGATTGCTTTGCGCAGATACATGTACGCCAAGCGTACCTATTTTTCTATTTTTAAAAAAAATTTTTACTGTTTTTATACTAGTTAAGATAATCACGGAATTAGAGCATATACATGTATCTTTGTTTTTAAATCGTGATTAATGTTAAACAATTGCAATCCATCAACTAATCAATACATTGTATTAGTGTTGTTATAACACATATAGGTACCGTTAACTTGTTCAAAATAAGAGCACGAGTATGCAGTGATATTACTCAAGATCCAGTCTATTTTAAGTGATATCCTTCTATATAAAGACACTGGTTCAGTAACTATAGGGATCTCTGCAGTAAGTTGCAAACGGAATTTGCCATTGCGGAATGCGGAGATTTAAATCAACCACGTTAAATCAAATACAGTCGAAGTTGTATTTCAAAGCTCATATAATATCACTTATATCTACAATTTCTAGCCATCTTTCGACAGTTTATGGGCCTGATAAGGCAAAAAATTGACCCTATTTTATTTGTTTCAATGAACCTGAATAATCACTACTAATTTTCGATTTTGCTGCTATTGTTTTCATTGGAAAAAAAAAAGCTTTAAAGAAGTTTATTTGCACCTTTTTGGTGCTTATCAGAGGCCACTGAAGTACTTAGAAAATGGAGGGGCATTGGCCAAAAGAGGCACTTTTGGATATGACCAAAATCAAACAATTTTATGTCGTTCACGAGCCGAACGAAAATATTTGAAAATATTGAAGCTTTACAGAGTCTTTATAGTACTGCAAAAAGGGCACTTTCTTTCCAGCAAAGAGCGCTCAGGAAATACTTTTTTCGTTCTTTAGATGGGCACTTTAGCCCAGAAAAAAGGACACTTTTTTCACTTGCCCGCATTGCTCCCTCCGGTTCTGCGGCCCTTGGTGCTCATACTGAAAAAAATTATTACCCATAATTATTCCTTTTTCAAGCACTGGATTGACAGGAACTAGCCTGTCTAACCTGTCATAAATACCACTGTCAGTATTTTTTGTGAGTCACCTTAAAGTGATGCTGTTGGCTCCATTTGACCATAATTATTATTAGAATAATTACAAAGGTGATTATCGATAATTGTTGCCGCTGATTGGTTAAGCGACCTCGGATTATTACGCGATAATCACCTAAGTGTTTTTTCAAAATGGCGGCGAGTGGTTTCGTCGAACTGGCAGATGAAGAAATAAGTTATTAATTTTAAAGAAAATACTGTACCTAAAAGCACGAAAGAAGTGATAAAATTTGGCTTAAAAGTATTTTGAGATGGGAAACTACGTTGCAGAGCTGCTTAACTTTATTTCGCATAAAACACCGTTTTATTTGTCGTACAATAGTTTAGACATTTGTTTACGTTTGTAAGAAAGTATTTTCTACAACAGATTTGTTTCAACGACAGTCAGAATTCACAAATGAGTTTGAAGACATGAATATTGACGGAATAAACAAATGTTTATCAAAATTGTACGTTTGTATATAAGAAAAAGTGATGGAAATTACTACAAAAAAGAATTCTTGATGGCGATATGAGTGGCCCTGGATATAGAAAGCTAAAGTCACCGTCGTACGAAAAAGATTGAGATGTGTTATATTATTTTTTTCCAATAATCACCTTTGTAATTATGCTAAAACAATTATTCGCCTCAGGCTCGGTGAATATCGCTGAATAAAAACCTCGACTTCGTCTCGATTTTTATTCAGCGATATTCACCTCACCTTCGGCGAATAATAGACAAATAATGAATGTTTTTATTCGTGCAATGGTAAGAATATTTTCATTTGGTGAAAGATGGAATGTTCCATTCAACGAGGCAACAGCACGAATAAAATCATTCATTATTTGTTTTATATAATACCAAAATAGACTAATATTAAAAGGTTTACTGTAAGCTCCCGCCATTCTGGCGAGTCGTATTTGCATTAAATCCCATTTACTGAGTTTGGAATATCGGGGTAAAATAAACTGCGATCACCGTACGAGATGCAATTTAACGAAAACATGAAGAGTGCAATGGAATAAAACGTATAGTACAATTGCATTCGCAAATAGTGCAATGGAACGTATTCCATTGCACTCTTAGGAAAAATCTATTCAAAATCACGTGATCATAATCCGTGCCTAAAAATGCCGCATCATAAAATTCTTTCAACGAGTCAATTTCCAATACTAGCCTGTCCTGTTATTTTTCTTCTTTCTTGTTTATATATACTTGGAATATATTAATCCCCGAGCCGACGGCGCGAAACCATAAATTAAGTAAGGACAGATGTGTAACTTCAGTAAAAGAGTTGTCCCATGGTCGCCATCTTCCTAGCAAGTGTCGCTCGCGTGATTATTCGTCATTTGGTAGTACGTCATTGCCTTCAAAAATGTTTTCAACACCTTTCCTACAACTTTAATTGCTTTTAACAACTTTAGACATTCAACAAATGATGCTCTTGATTGTTTAATCCATAAATTTCGATCGAAGAAAGCCGCAATAAAATGCAAAAGTTCATGTTTTCCAGGACGCCATCTTCCTAGCAAGTGTCATGGCGTGAGCATGACGTGTACATCTAGGGAAATTTGAGGACACAAATTCCTATTAAGTTACACATCAGGGGCCGGTTGTATAAAACTCTTAATCACTTTTTTAATCACTATTTTGTAGTTAAATAGTGATTAACTCTCAAATACGCGCTTCCTATTGGATGACGTTTCCACTAACTATAGTTAACTTTAATCACTTTTTTATACAACCGTCCCCTGATATATACTTCATCTGTGGCGAAGCGCCGTGCGAGGGTACTAATTCCCCCCGGCTATTTACACACGGGGAAACGAAAGCATTAGCGAAGTCTAAAGTTCACCAATGATCGCGGGCGTGGCTCACTGTGCGTGGGTGGTCGTGCTCACTGATCTCAAAAATATGGCGGACTGTCATGAATAGCGAACACTGTGATTGGTCCAATTTAAATTTTGCATTATAACGACTGCATGACGACAGGGAAATAGCAAACATTTCTTGCTTTGATGATTGATAAATGATAAATTTCTTGCAAATATATTTCATTTTTGCTCGCATTTTTGCAAGATTTTGTAAATTTCAAGAAAGAAAGGGCGAAAGAATCGGCTAAAAGAAGGGAGCCGACGTGAACGAAGATAAGTTTGTTTTAAATATTGATTTTATAATTGCTTTAAAACCCGACGGCCTTTGCGTATATAAAACAACTAAACAAGACAGCAAATAATTTCCGTGTATCTTTAATATTGATTCCCTTTTTTATTATATTGAATTCAGTTTTAAATAAAAAAGAAAGCAAAGTTATTTGCATGCGAGAATTTGAAATCATTTTATTGCAAACTCAAAGTTTATGGATAAAGCCATTTAATTAAAGGCAGTTTAGTTTTATAAAGAACGCTTTAAAACGTTTTGCGAAGCGTTTGTGGTTGAATTTTACTTTAAATTGAAGCTTATATTACGTCTAATATCATACCTAACATATATATGTTGGAGTTGTAAGAATATTCTTAAAAAATTATCGTGTTACTGTGACAACTACTTTAGATACTTCATGTTTGGAAAATACAATGGTTTTGTCAGCAAGGCGAGGGTTTCTGCATGCATGTATTTTCTAGTTTTTGTATATATTTTGCTGAAGGGTATAGCGTTGGGTAAATATAGCTTTAATAATCACATATAATAAAAGTCATTACGACTGGAAAATTATACGTTGCGACATCACCCAGCATGCTGCTATAACTATATGGCGTCTTGTCAATGGGCGTCTTGTCAATGTGATCATCTTTCATCTTTGGTCTTCTTTTATGGAAAGCCATAGCTGGCTTAAAGTGAGCAAACGGCATTTTGTTGGGTGCTTTTAGCATTATACGGCGGTGGTTTCGGCATTATATGCGGTGCTTTCGCCAATATACGCGGTGGTTCGAGCCGATTATACGCGGTGCTTTCGCCATCATACCGGGGTGCTTTTACCAATTTAATATACGGGGTGGTTCGCAATTATACGCAGTTGTTCAAGCATTATACGAGGTGCTTTTAACATTATACGCGATGCTTTCATTCAACATTATTTCCGTATTCTTTCATGCATATGATTTCACGATTGCTTAAATTTGGTATGTGGTTGACAATGCTTTTTGGTTTTTGCCTCTGGTCTGCAATGACAATGGCATGCTTTAAAAAGGTTTATTTATGCACTTTGTGAGTTTTATATATTATCATATAGTTTTGATTTATTAGTAATAAATCTGTGTATATATAAATGAATATAACGCAGCGAATGCGCCAAGCAGTATGAACGCGGCTGAAATACGATATTAATAAAATCTTGAATGTGCCGTATGATTTAATTATGTTTTAGTATTTAAAAATGCTTTGTTATTTGTATTTATACTTGTACTGCATCACAAGGCAGTGCGTAAGTGAATAGATTCCACATGTGAGGTTGGCTTGTATATATATTTTGCCTTCTTTGATAAACATTATTATTAAACACGCAAATTTTAATTAGTGAGACGCACAGTCGCACATGTTAAACGTCACCTGCATGTCATTGTCATTGCCCTTTAACCCCTGGTATAATTGGCTGTTTTTAATAACGTTGATGTATAAATTATGGATGATTCCAATTCATTACAGATATTTCTTATTATTGTTCTTTACTATACTAAAGATTTGGGAACAATGCTATACAAAGACAGCACTCACTACCCTGTGGTTAAACTAGTTCTAACTTCTAAGCAGATTTCCCCAATTTTTTTTTGACAAGGGCACGGTTCGATCTCAGTCTAATTCATCTCCTTCATCTGCATCTCGTCACTATCTCTTGTGTCCTGAAAATCAAAGCAAAAATAGTTTAACGTTCTCTAAATCAAACTTTCAGACTTTTAAGACAGGGTAAGATGCGACGTCTCTTTGCTAAAACAAGATTACTATTGAACACATTTATATAAAAAAATTTGGCTTCTGTATCATATGGCTAAAATTTCCAATGGCCTAAGTATGCTGAGATGAAATGACGTGTTGATAATTGATATAATTATAAGATAATACATTTATAAGATAATTGATTCGTCCAGACATCTAAAATATTATCTCATAAATGTCAGTGCCATATTTTACTCTTATCAAGATTCTATGGGCATCTCACTCGATTGAATCTTAGTTGAATGGTATTGTAGATGGGAATAATCGAGCGGAAATTTATATACATCTATCAGATCTAACCAGGAACAGAAGCGAAAAATGCAACTTTAGGCTTTGGCAGGAATCGCAGGGCCGCAGGTTCGATTCCTTCCAGGGACGTAAAGTTGCATTTTTCGCTTCTGTTCCGGGTTAGGTCTAACAAATGACCATAGAAATTTCCACTCGATAATTTGCATATTTTACTCGCTTGTTTACTAGGAACTGATCAAGTTCGGGCCCGCAATCTTTACAAAGATTTTCATCCTACCTAAGTGCAGGTGCATATTCATTGCACCAATATTTTCAATTCCAACATAGAGATATTCATTGGTCAAAATAATGAGAAATCATGGATCAAAATCAATTGCAAAGAGTCAGAACGAGCAATAGTGTTGCAGTCACTATCCCAAAAGGCTATTCGCCACGTCTTCAGCTACAGTTGGTCAGTGCAAGCAACAAGGCGTCACTGACATTCGCTGGAAGGAGATACTCAACTGTGACCGGTTGTACGGAAGCTGGATAACTTATCCAGTGGATAAGTCCTATCAAATGGATAAATCTATCCAATGGATATAGCGCAAAGCAATAGCAAAGACCGTGAGTTTGTTTTCTTGTTTCAGTACGCTGATTCAGTTTTATTTTATATACGAATATTTGTTCCTTGATCTTGTACTTCATTCAAAAAAATTTTAAGAACATTTTCTTGCAAGATTTGATTGGCTGATCGAAGGAATTAACGGTGAGCGAACAAAACGTTTTCGTCTTAATTGTTGTCTATTTATATTTATATTTGTTTGGCTTCAAAAGGAAGTCATTGTTTGTTTTCACAGCTATAATAGTGAAAGTTTTATTGCTTGTTTTCAAAGCTCAGCCTATAAAGAACACTGTATCCGACCAACTCGGCCGAATGTCTGTTCAAAGTCCGGGAGAAATCCCCAAAAAATCCGCATAATCCAAAACCCCTGAAAAAGTCCAAAAATCCAACAAGCTTTCCTTGGTAGGGATGTAACTACATGAAAAAATATGTGAGGAGAATTTCGACGTTTCGAGCGAAGGCCCTTCGTCTGGCGTTAGTTGGCCAGTATAACTCCAGACGAAGGGCCTTCGCTCCAAACGTCGAAATTCTCCTTATATTTTTCAGCTCCCTACCAACGAAAGCTTGTTTATCTATTATTGGGACTACCTATAATGGCATTATTCTCCCTCGCAGACGTTCTTATAGCTCTAACCCTCGCTAACGAACGTCGCTGAAACGAGCTGCACATTCCATTCCTTTTGTTTTAGGAGCCAATCGTCTGGCAGTGTTCAAAAAAGTTAGAGCCAATTGGAAGCCTTCTTACTGAGATGTTAGCTACTGGGGAAAGCCCTTGAATGTTGCAACATAACTGTTTGGATTGAATTTTGTTTAGGCCTACTTGCGTGGAGATATTTTGGAAACTATAGCCATGAACTTCACGATATGTTTATACGTAGAATAATATTGTGATCATCTTCTCGCATGTTCTGCAAACAGCCGGTGTATATAAAATGCAAAAGCTATGCAACAGGCGAAATTTTAAATTTTGTTAACAATGACAAATCGGGAAACTCGAGAACGAGTAGATCAGGATATGTCCAAATGTTGCTATTAAATACTTCCTATATATGCCATGGCTTCGACGAAAAATTCTAAAAGATTAAGCTCTGACTCGTTGTCATGTTAAAAAATAAAAAGTATACCGAAGTTAGATGTATAAACGTTTCGAAGTTTTGCCAATTGGAAATTGATCTCCGCGCAATTAAAAGTTTCTCGGGTTTTATATTTGCGTTGTGTTTACATTCGGAAGTTAGAAGTGGTTGGTCAAACAGCAACTTAGTTTACTTTGAAACTAATATTTCGCTTTCTATAAGCCAAATTATTATATCAAAGTTCTGTTGTCTTAAAGATAAACATCTGTCAAAAGTTCAAATTTCTGCGAAATATATATATTCGGCACTTGATGCATGCTTCGCCACTAGTCTAAGATTCATACAGTATGTCATCCTGTCCGCGTTTTAAATATAACCGAACATCTTTAATATCCGTCTCAGATAATTAATGGTGCATTTTATTTACCGGTCAAGTATCAATGTCCTTAAATTCAATTTATGCGCAATTTTGACCAAAATTTAACCAACGACTGCTTTCAAGATATAAAATATTTATGTACTATTTATTCCGCTCCTAAATCACTTTCCGAAATATAGAAGGTTCGCTGTGATTGGACGATCGGAGGGAATGGAATGTGCAGCTCGTTTCAGCATGCAGACGTTCGTTAGCGAGAGTTAGAACTATGAAAACGTCTGCGAGGGAGATTACACTGGCACAGAAAGTAAAAAAAAAACAATTAAATTTTTTTTGAAAAAAACCGTGAATAATAAAATTTACTAAAATATACCCGCATATTTTTGAAGGTCCGAAAATGGGTCCGAAATGCTCCTCGATAATACATGTAGATATGTTTGCGATGTTACTCTGAGTGCATAACCACACCGGGCGAGCTTGAAAAATATGCCCGGCCACCGTGGGATTCGAACCTACGACCTTTGGAATACTAGCCCAATGCTCTTCCAACTGAGCTACGCGGTCAGGACGGTTCGAGTATAAGTGATATTTCGGAACAGTATCTAATTCCTTCAATACCAATGTGTTCTATTAATATGAATTTTTTGTGCTGATGTTGTGTACTCAGGTGAATAATATGTTTGCGATGTTACTCTGAGTGCATATCCACACCGGGCGAGCTTGAAAAAATATGCCCGGCCACGGTGGGATTCAAATCTACGACCTTTGGAATACTAGCCCAATGCTTTTCCAACTGAGCTACGCGGTCAGGACGGTTCGAGTAAGTGATATTTCGGAACAGTATCTAATTCCTTCAATACCAATGTGTTCTATTAATATGAATTTTTTGTGCTGGTGTTGCGTACTCAGGTGAATAATATGTTTGCGATGTTACTCTGAGTGCATATCCACACCGGGCGAGCTTGAAAAATATGCCCGGCCACGGTGGGATTCGAACCTACGACCAAACATATTATTCACCTGAGTACACAACACCAACACAAAAAATTCATATTAATAGAACACAATGGTATTGAAGGAATTAGATACTGTTCCGAAATATCACTTACTCGCACCGTCCTGAACGCGTAGCTCAGTTGGAAGAGCATTGTGCTAGTATGCCAAAGGTCGTAGGTTCGAATCCCACCGTGGCCGGGCATATTTTTCAAGCTCGTCCGGTGTGGATATGCACTCAGAGTAACATCGCAAACATATTATTCACCTGAGTACACAACACCAACACAAAAAATTCATATTAATAGAACACATTGGTATTGAAGGAATTAGATACTGTTCCGAAATATCACTAACTCGAACCGTCCTGACCGCGTAGCTCAGTTGGAAGAGCATTGGGCTAGTAATTCAAAGGTCGTAGGTTCGAATCCCACCGTGGCCGGGCATATTTTTCAAGCTCGCCCGGTGTGGATATGCACTCAGAGTAACATCGCAAACATATTATTCGCCTGAGTACACAACACCAACATAAAAAAAATACATGTACATATGTAAATATACCTTTGCTTTTTTCTCATTGTCAGCACGATGAATTGGTGAAGATTCGCTGGTCAAACTCCAGCTTTCTTTCTTGCAACATATTAATGATCGGAAGAAGTCTGGAATATTGAACAGGAGTTCTGGACCTGGACGCGTCTGGCGATCACTGTTTGTTTCTTTAAATGAAAAGAAAAGAAAATGAACTGCAATTTATTAAGTTTTACTAGGAAATTATGAAACGCAATTGAAGATGAAACTTAAAGATGCCGAAAAACATGCACAAAATTGTATGTGCCCTGATATGGCAGACAAGTTGTCACACAGAATTTTGTTGTTATTTTATTCTCACAATATGTGCGATTACTGTAGGTCACAGCATTATTTATATATTTGTAAGTATTGGAATTGACATATTACTTTGATATTCCCATAGCCTTTAAAGATGTTGTAAAGTCCGTTCTGCATCATAACAAATGGGGACCCGCAGATATAAACATTGCCCAAATTTTACATCTTTGAACTTTTTTTAATTGAAACGTCTAGCTAGCTTAATTGCGTGCTACTATTTTTATATAGCTATTTTATTGTTATTTTATAACTATTTTATTGTTACATTCTGACTATTTTATTGCTATTTTATGACTATTTTACTATTCTTTTATTGATATTTTATAACTATTTGATAACTATTTTATTACTACTTTCTGACTATTTTATTACTATTTTTATACTATTTTATAAGAATTTTGAACTATTTTTTTGCTATTTTGTTCGCTATTTTATCACTATTTTAAATTCTACAATTTTATTACTATTTTATCAGTATTTTATTCATATTTTTAAACTATTTTATTACTATTTTTGCAGTAATTGTATTACTATTTTTAGTTAATATACTGCAGTTGATCCACTATTTTATATGTATTTTCGACTATTTTATTACCAATGTTTCACTTTACTTTATTATTTTATTTCTATTTTGCACTCTGTTTTAAATATATTTTATCCTATTTTAAACCTATTTTAATCTGTGCTTCACCGATTCAGAAAAATAAAATCTATTTAAAATAGGCTATTTTTTGTTTCAAAAAAACCTATTTATAATAGCTATAAAATACAATTAAAACAGAGTTCTAATAGGTTTAATATAGGATTTGTATATGTGATAGCAATATGATAGGGTTAAAAATAAAATAGCTTTTCTATAGGAATAAAATAGAAAGTAAAATAGGGATAACATAGGGTTAAAATAGTGTTGATTTTCGTATGGGTTGTACTCATTTACAAGCATAACGAACCAGAAAAGTGTGAGATATTCAGTTAGTAGATCATATTTTACAAATATAGCAGTTCAAAATGTAAACAAAGCGTTTGTTTACATTACGGACTTTACAGAATCTATAAAATTACCTTTCAAAATCACAGTGATATTAATTAATATTGACCTGGCGGTACTTACCACATATCAAGCTGACTATAGCTCCCACAACAAATGTTGTAGCCACGGCAGTTGCACCATACCACAAATATGATAGACTCCCAAGTTTTGCGAACGGTTCACTTTAAAAGAACATGAGAAAGTTAATTTGAATATTGAAATTGCAATTTATTTGGTACAGTACGTTTTTTGCAGAACTACATTGCACATCGTTTTGGCAGAAGCACATTACACATTAGTGGTTTGTATTGTTTGCTACTTTTCAACATTTCCAGTACTATGTTTGCTTGTTAATGCCCAGCCAAAAAGCACGTTAACAACGGAAATATTGTGAAATGTTACCGTACAGTATCTGTAATAATACAGTCTTCTATGCATTAACTTTCGTTAAAATTAATCACATTTTAACAAGGGGTAAAAGCAGCCATTATAGTAATTAAAAAAATTAGGATTTAGCATAGCAGCCATTATAGTAATTAAAAAAGTAGGATTAGAAATTATTACAAACATCTTTGTTTCGCAATCACACCAAATACGCCGTTTTGTTAACGCAAACTTTTCTTTGCCCCATTCCTGCCGGGAGGGAGGTTATCATTTCCCCTAAGAATGAACTGAAAAGAAGCCTATAGATGTTGTTTCTTGTTATTTTATTACGATTATTATGTAATAACAATTGCAACTAAAATAACTATATTGGCGGTTTTCACCATGTTTCAATTCGCTAGTTTTTATATATCACGTGTCCATGTTTCATTATATTAAATTTATATTAAAGGTGATCTACAGCCCGATCTGCGCATGTGCACAAATGAGCCCACTTTTTATGATACAAACAGTTTAACTATGTTTTGAGTTCTTGAAAAGCCTGATTGTTGTTTCTTGATAATTTATTATACTCTAGAAGCTTGAAAATATAAATAGTTGTCGAATAAAGCTCAATATTTTGGACACAAAAATGTAAACAAAGGCTTTGTTTACATACGGACTGTAGATCACCTTTAAGTGACCAACCTTATACAGCCCTAGGTACCAGGTTTACGACGTAACACAATATCACTACACTAGGAGGACTGAAACTAGCAAAATTTGCATATAGAAAATGGTGTATTGATTTCATAGCAGTACTGGGGAGTGGTCATGGTTAGTCCTGTACCTATGTGCTACGAAGGTATTTGACATGATGCCATCAGCTGTTGTATTTGCATAGATAGAACTGTTGCATGCCTTGATTGATATACTACCAGCCATTTTGTTAGGAGGATAAATCGCGCCGCTGATTGCGATGGTTATTGTCAAGACAACACCTACAAAAGCTCCAGCATAGGCACCCTGTAAAATGATAATATAACAGTACAATATTCAAATGTCTTTTGGCCCGATCGCACTCGTATAAACAGGGGAATGTTAATTTTTGTCCATAACGGGTAGTACGCTTGCTTATTTAACCTGGCGCACATCCAGTCATGCACTTAAACGCAAGAATTGTGTGAGTTTAACTATGGCGTGATAACCAACGCAACTCGTTTAGGACTGATGTGATATGGTCGTATACTGGTATAGTCCGCACATTAACAACTTAACTCTAAGTAAAAGATAGAATAGTTGCACCGTTGTACATCTCAACTAAACTTTATTATCCCACCTAAAAAGTTTCAATGGTCTAAGTCATTTTCACTGCATAATAACATTTTGCTGCAACACGCAATAGATCTGGAATGTAACATTGTTCAATAATCATGATAACTAGTGTTCTTAATCGTTGATGGGTAAGGGAGACAGAATTTTCCAGCTGTGTTTAATTAAAAAAAATTCTTCTCAATAACTAGTCGACAATTAAAACTGATTTCAAAAATATCAATATATATATATTAATTATGATTCCTTATATTTTACAGTTCTCTTCATATTTTATAGTTCTAGTTGGTATTTTTCTGATTTTTGTGTTCCAATTTCTAAATTAAATGGCCTATATTGCTCGGGTCTGAAGGTTCGCAGAACTCTCTCTATACAGGGTGTATAAAAAAAAGAGATCTTTAAAAATCAAGCATATTGCTAAATTTTGAATGCCATTTCAATTGCACATATGCTGAACCCTGGTGCGTGAAATATTGATGGAGTGCATATATTAGAAAAAGGAGACCTTTAGAAATCAATCATTGTTTTAATTTGAATCCTGGAACACTTTGCTAAGCCCACGAGCGCGTAACATGCGATCTACGTACAGTATGCATGGCACATTGTTCCCAGGAGCAGACAATCTTTTGTTTAAACGTTATTTCAAATTCTAAAGGTCTTCTTTTTCTAATGTACGCACTCATCAATATTTCACGCAGTACGGTTCAGCATATGTGCAATTGAAAAGGCATTCAAATCTTAACAATATGCTTGATATGCTAAAGGTCTCCTTTTTTTATACACCCTGTATAGTCAGACTTGCCACAAGTCCAGCTCAGAATTGTTTCCTAAATTTTATTGGGCGAGTAATAAAGTTGAGGTTGGTGCGAGGAAGCGATCTCACCTGTCCCTATCAGGGACGTAAGAACCGGGGCGGCACGTGCCTCCCCCAATTTTTTCAAAGCATTAAAAGTGCTCTTTTTTGTGATAAAAGTGCCCTTTTTGTACAAGCTAATGTCGCTGTAAATACTAAATTAACATCAAAGGTGCCTTTTTTGTTTGGAAATTTCCACGTTTTTAAAAAAAATTGGTCAAAAACGTGCAATTTCGGTATGGTACGACGGGAAAATGTTTCTCTCCCTCGTCGCCAACATTTCCGGGAAAAATTTTTTAGGCGCCCTTTTCAATACCCTAAAGTGCCCCTCAAAGTCGGTGCCCCCCCCCCAACTTTTGATGCTCCCTACGCCCTATAGTTTGCAGTTCTCAAAGGATCAGTAATTCTAGTATACTTATACATAGTTTTTGACAGTTGATTTTTGGTTAATATAGAAATTATGGATCTTCACAATAGTTTTTATGTTACCTGTATTGTGTTATATTGTGTACATCACTACATCATCTAAAGATGTTCCATATATGAAAAATACACTTCGTGATACCTTATAATTGGCTCTTGGTATCATAATTCCCAAGAAAAATACTCCAAGCAAAGGACCACCAACTATTCCCGCAATGCTGTAGGCAAGCTGAAAGATTAAATCGTCATGCAGGTTAAAATGTCTAACTGCAAATACTAACATATTAACATTCTGGGACACTACTGTATGTTAACGGAAAATGGCAATATATCTTTTATTTTCTCTTTTGAAAGAACTTTTAAGACTACATATAAAACTCTTTTACTGTTTTTTCATATCTTGCTTATTTCTACAAATACTTTGATCGAAAAGAATAAAATGTCCGTCATCTTCAATTTTTGTAGATATACATGTCACGTCCACTGAGCTGTATAATAACTGGAGGATCTGCTCCTATGATTCATTCAGTCAACAAAGTGTCGCCAAAAAATGGCGGATTTTGATGAAAAATGACGCCATTTTGACTACTGGTCCCTAAATTCATGCTAATTGCCACTGAACAAGACTCAAATATGAGCCCACCGCAGTTTTCACCCCCCCCCCCTGGTTTTTATAAAAACATTTCGGCTTTTTGCAAGTGAATCCTTGTTGTTTTGATATTTTCGACATATTTTTTCGACTGTTGAAAATTTGTTCAAAGATGTGGAAGCCGTACACGTTAATTTTCGTCCGTGGAGCGTGAAAGACAACAAACAACTATTAAAACCTCGCGAAATGTGGGCAAAAACGATACTTCAAACCAGAGCAAACATTCGTATTTTGTTATCAGACTATAAACAGGTATTTAATAAATTTTCAAAATTCACATTACTATTTCATGAAAAAATGTTAGGAATAAATGGTAGAATGTTACTCTATTTTACAGAAAATAAGCCACGAGTATTTAGCCCTCAATCCCAAGGAATGGTTGTACATCTAGTATATGAATTTGACATGAAACTATATTAAAGAGGGAAGTAAGGTTTTATAGATTTAGCCAAGGATTTTGTCATGCACGAGCTTGTGGTGAACTGGTGCAGGACAATTTAAAGCTCAGCTGATCTGAGAATGCATGTTTTGCCCAAGGTTGAAAATTGTGTGCTCTCTGATAGTGAGTTTGTTGTATGTATCTTTAAAAGGCCATGCATTAACTTTAATATTTGCCCCATCCCTATGGGTATTGGGTTAATTGACTAAACTCAAGCGAAATATCCACTGTATTAACCTATATTTCAGTATTGCATTAGCAGGTTACCCGTAAAGGAGCAACTAGCTCTGTGGGTTAAACCGGTCATGTGACAAAGATTGTAAAAAAAAAGTCCTGGCATATTTCTGGTGTCCCTGAGGTAAGGGCTGTTCATGCGACAGCTAGACCAGTAAGCAAGACCTGACTGTGTGGTTATTTTTATAGTTGAAATTCTTTTCAATTTGTATGGACAACCACGCTACCTCAGTTCAGACAAGGCAAGCTCTCAGTTACACCGGGAAGATATTTTATGGCTCTTAACCACTAACTGGACTGACTTGGTCAAAATAAAGCCAAAACAACAAATAAAATAAATATTGTCAAAACAATAAAAAAAAAAAATAAAATAAAAATAAAATAGAATATTGTCAAAACAATAGAATTGTGTTGGCAAGGAAATGATAAATTATTCTGCCAACCTGGCCAGCCTGGCTTCTATATTGATAGCCCCTATGGCTATAATCTATTCTTGGTAATTGCAGAATGCTCCCACAATGAGCTCCATGCCACTGTTGTTAGTGAAACTCCATACCAAGAAACATGAATTGTTTCAAAATTAATTAAAGACAAAAATTAGCTTGGTTTTGTATGGTCAAAGAATAATCATCAAATTAGCAGTAAATAATTTTAAAACCTGTACAATCAAGTTACATGTAATACAGTATTAGTTATTAAAATGTTATAGCTCCAAGGGCTATTCTTTGGCCGTTTGTAGTACAAATAACACATCACTCTAAATGAGAAATATCCATTATACGTATAAAATAGTGACAGTACAATATCAAGACACTGAAGATGTATTGGGTCACTGATTACAGGGAAATTTACTGCAGAGCAGAGCCCAAACTGTTCAGTTAGACATTATTGATATGTTAACCCATTGAGCACCAGTGGCTCTCCAGTTCACAAGTAAAATTGTCTGGTGTTAGACAGAGTAAAATAATAAAGTAGGGTGCATTAGGGCACAATGCAACTTAATGGTTAATTAATATGGTATGGAGGTAATGTTTCACATATAAGTTCAGGCATTTATAAGCCCGTCTAATGCCAGGCAACTTTTATTTATTTATTTACTTTGCCATCATACTTATACATTCATTGGCTGGGAAACCACAACAGCTATTGCCAATTGCAGCGGCCCCAATAGTTATACAGAAACAATTTACACGGTATACTAAACACACACAACAGACAATACTTGAACAACAGTCATTACATTTCTCTAAAAGCAGCATGTCAATGGAGAGTTCATTAAACTTCGAGCGGAATTACATTTTATACTGACATACTTTTCCATGTCCGGGGATCCTCAACATCGTATGTATTTTCTAATGCTAAAATATAGTACTTAAAAAGAAGATTCTTGAATTCTGAAAATGTTAGGTCTTTGGATGTAATATAATTGGGTATAGTGTGTTCCATATTCTTGATGTTCGGATTTTGTAAGATTTTTCATAGGTTGACGTCTTGTATGTCGGAATTTTATATTTGTGCGAGTTGGGATTAAATGATCTTGTCTGTCTTTGACCCTGAGGTTGAGGAAATGGAAGAATTTTTTATCAATATTAAAAATGTCGTGATTTGCCTTATAGAAGAATACTACATCCAGGTATTCGTGCCAGTAGCTGAAAGGGAGCAAACTGGTTGCAAGAGTCGGTTTCTATATTCTGTATCACAAATAAAGGGAACATTTAAAATATATTTAGTTGCACGCCTCTGAACTCGTTCTACTCTTTTCACCAACGCAACTGTTTGGGGCGCCCATACTTGGGTGGCATATCCTAAGTGTGAGCGAACCAGAGAAAGGTACAGTTTTCGTCGAATTGCAAACTCGCGAATATTGAAAGTTGATCTTCGAATATAACCCAGCAGGTTACTTTGTTGTGTAACTTGCTTTGACCAAGTGAGATCATAATTCGTCCATACACCTAAATCGAGTTCGCAATCAGTCTTTCTAGTATGGTATCTTGTAGTTGATAAGAGAAATCTATTTTGTTGTGTTTCCAGGTGACCTGGAGGGTTTTACATTTTGATGTGTTAAGATGCAGACCAGCATTGGATGAGGAGGAATTAAAGTTGAGAAGATCATTTTGTAATAACATTGCATCGGTCCTGGAGTTAATCACTTTAAAAATGTTAGTGTCATCAGCGAAAGCTGCTACGTTCGATGGAAGAGGATAGATCTTTGGTATATAAGAGGAAAAGTAGCGGGCCAAGAATGGAACTTTGTGGTACTCCGGATGTCACTGGTAGTGCTGTCGATGTTGCACCGAGAACAGTAGTTTGTTGTTGGCGATTTTTCAAGTAAGAATTAAACCACATTAAGAGATTTCCTCCGAATCCAAATTCTCTGAGACGATGTAAAAGACGTACGTGACTAACCTTATCAAATGCTTTTGACATATCCAGGTAGATCGCATCAATCTGCTTTCCGAGATCTAAATTGCTGCCGATGGTATCTAAAACTTCAATTAGTTGTGTCACGCATGATTTTCCTGAAATGAAGCCATGTTGGCAAGAATTTATTTGACTGAAAGCATGTTCTTTGATACTAATGAACACGCAACGCTCTAAGACTTTGGAGACAAGTGAGAGAAGAGAAATTTGCCGATAGTTTTCTACATGATCTTTATCTCCCTTTTTGTGGATGGGTACAACATTGGCAAGTTTCCATTCTCGAGGTACTATTCCACTTTTTAAGGACTTGTTAAACAGAAGGCATAGAGATGGAGCGATTTGGTATGCAGTTTCGGTAAGTAATCTTGCTGGGATTTCATCCGGACCATGCGCTTTGTTGTTATCAAGATTTCTTAAAACTGAGCGCACTGTTCCTTCCGACAAAGCAATGTCATTAAAAATAGTGTCAGTGGTTTCGGATATAGATTGTTGATTAACAATATTGATAGGATCACTCGAGAAGATTGATACAAAGTAGCGGTTGAAAAGTGTTGCGATGTCCCTAGGATTCTCGCCATATTCACGAACATTGTTGACACTAATTTTTATTGAAATTTTTTCCGGGACAGAACGTGTTGCGCCTTTAAGTTTAAATAGTGACCAGAAACGTTTGGAATTGGTTTGGATGTTTGTGCAGAGAGAGGAAATGTAGTTGGATCGGCTGATTTTTATCATAAGCTTGATTGTGGCTCTGAGAGTTTTAAACTTGTGGCGGAGATAGTCATGGCACTGGGAGATTTTTTCAATCTTTGTCTTAAGGGAATTTTTCTTTTTGATGTTGTGCAAAATTTCACCAGTAAGCCAAGGCACATATTTTCGACTTCGAAGTCTTTTAGTTGGGATATGATCAGCAACTATTGTAAGGAAAGTACTTTTCCAGATCAGCCGTGGTCAATATCCCCTTCCGCTGATATTAGGTTGGACAGATTCTCGGATTCGAGTGATGATCTTAAAGCATCGAAATTGCCACGTTGGTAGTCGTATACTGTTCTATTCATATTTACTGGAGATTTTGGAGATATAAGGACATCAAAGAGAATTATATTGTGATCAGTGAAAACTTCTGCTTCAGCAGGAGATAAAACTTCATGAATATTTACAAGGTTGGGAACATTGGAAAGCACAAGGTCCAGCACGTTGTTGCGTCTAGTTGGTTTGTTGTTAAGTTGAGATAAGAAATAGTCATTCATTAATTCTAAGAATGAAATTTCATTGGCTTCTGTTGTATTTTCTGGGGAATTCCAGGAGATATGTGGCATATTAAAGTCGCCAACAAGAATGATATTCTCATGGCAGCTGCAAACATCATTTAGATAGTGGTTAAAATTGTTGAGCCAATTTTGATCAGCGTTAGGTGGACGGTAGCAAGAGCAAATCAAGAGTCGACTATTTGAGGATGTAGTTATTTCGGCAGAGATAATTTCTAGATATTGATTTTGATGAACTTCTCGCACCGACTTAAAGGAATCAGTTTTAATTGCAAGTAATACTCCACCGCCTCGAGTTTCGCGACCTTTTCGAAGTATAGTGTAATCGGAGTTCAGGATTTCTGAATTATCAATGTTTCCATTGAGCCAAGTTTCATTGACACAAACAATATCAATTTGTTCAGAATAAACTAAGTCTTGAAAGCAGTTTAGATTGCGGACAGTTTCAGATTCTGTTAGTATATGGGTACTCATCAAGCTACGGGCATTCATGGCTAAGCATTTTACTGACCCATTTACATGGGCATTACAGGGACCAGGGTTAATAGCAACGTCTCCTGACAATAAGATACATAACAGAACGTGCAAGTTATTATTCTTGATTTGAAACAGCAAGCCATAGCGATAATTAGAGGATAATGAACATTTCCTTATGTTTATATCACGTGTTGATATCCAGATGTGGCTTAGTCTCCCAGATATAGATATAAGTTCTGCAGAAATAATAATATTCTTTGACGTTGTGGAGGTGTTTTTTGTGAAACTAGTACCGGTTAAGATCGAGGTAAAAGCCAGAGGCATAAAGCAAGGAATAAGAGCCAACCAGAAGTCGAATAGGGCAAGCTTCGGGGAGTGGGAAAGTTTATTGTATTAACCTTTTAATGCGGGTAAATCCCCACGAGTGAAACCAGATATGTTGATCTGTGTGGTAGTATTCGCAGCGACCACGTCCAAGAGAATACAAAAATTAGTCACCAAATATTGCACTCAAAAACCGCAAAATAAATGAAAATTGTGCTGTTCGTGAGATAAACGGAAAACCAAGATAAAAAATTCACTTTCCGCAGCCAGAACTATGATACAACTTCGCAAATCCCTTAAGTTGTGTTGCTATGAAACACAACGCCAGACAAAATTTAAATTCAAAAGTCAAAATAATAAAAGTACGATGAATCACCAAATAACACAAAAATTACACACGAAAACAGGAACACAATTTATAGATCACTTAGAAAGTTACAGGTGAATAGAATAGACGATGACAAAGATATTGAATATATGAACCAAAATATCGGGTTGTAGTGTGAGCATCACAGCAGTATCATACAAATCACCAAAAGATAATCCCAAATAATTCCTTTCGACTAAATTTCACCAACTCCTAAACACCATGAGTAAACGAACCAGATCTTTAGCTTTAATTTGATTAGTAGATCACCAGTATAAATTGAAAAAAGACTTATTTAGGGCCAGAGAAAAGCAGAGGTCACTCGACCGTGAACCTAAGTTGATGTATCATATGAGAGCCAAGGTCAACTTGTCAACTTGTCAACTTGGTCAACTTGTCAAGGGGACAATCTTGTCCATTATAAATTTATTAACTATCCCAAATAAAGTTTCATTTTACATATTCCAATATATCAAAAATAAAGTTCATAAATAATGTCTAACTGAACAGTTGGGGTCCACTCCAATACTGGGAACACCCCCACTGAAGATGCTCTCAATTTGATTGGATAATTGTCAGGGCGCAATTTTGGTCAATGCCAAGGGCAGTGAATATGCATTGGCTGGCATGTACACACCCTTTATTCCTACAAATACCTAACTGCAACTCTAATGGCTATGCGATTTATGGAACTCTGACAAACTATGTTGGGCAGATGAATACCATGTAAACCTCTGAATGCTTGTTTTCATTAATTAGCATTTCTGATGGGCTGAGCTGTTGGAATCCCTTTGCTCAGCATTAAAAAATACTTGTCCAAAAATAAGTCCATGGGCTAACAGAAAGGGACTTAAATTCGGGAGAGGGCTTATATTCAGAATTTCTTATGGTGGGATTCTACACAGGAGGGCTTATATTTGGGGCAGACTCTGTCATTGGGGCTTATATATTCAGAGGTTTATGGTTATTGGTTTGAACTTGATATCTTTGGCCTTGCAAAGCAATTTTTCACTTTCCTGTTTTAGCTGTTGACATTTAATATAACTACACAGTATTAAATTATAAATAACTGCTACAAGAACCTGGCAAGGATATATATATCATTCAAAGTTTGTCAGGGAAAATTTGCTCTAAATACTGAAGTCTGTAGTACTATTAAAATCAATATAAGTGCACAGTAAGGATTTTGACACCATAAGCAGCCTTTAAAACCATATGAAAACACAGAAGCTTGTGGTAAATCAAAAGAACAATACAATTTACAAAATTCTTAACTATTTTCCTATGAGGATTTGTATTTCTATCGAGTTTATAAATAAAGCAAGCTAGAATATACTAATCTAGAAATATTCAAATATACTAATCTTACCGGTAAATAAAATATTCATCTAGTACTTGTTTGGAGAATTTTCGTACATATGACATATGAGCGGCGCAAAAATTCAGTATCCGTTGTAAATCAAGCAAATTGCAAGAAAAATATCAAGATTTTCAGAGAGATTTTCCCCTCAAAAACAAAATTTTTTGACTCAAACCAGGGGGGGGGGGGTGAAGTACATCGTCGAAAGCTTAGGATCGCGGTTGGGACAGTGGTAGTTGCCATGGATCTAGGGACCATTAGTCATGGCAATGGCGTCAGATCCGCCATGTTTTTGGCGAGACTTTTTTATACCGAGCAGGTCCTCCAGTAATATAGTATAGCTCAGTGGCACGTCACAACAGGGGTCACCCACCATTTTTATCTAGACAACTACTAATCATTTTGCACTCAAAACTATACTCCGTCTGCCTTTCAAAATATCATGATCACTCAAAACCTTTAAAACATCTACCAATAAATATTTGGTAAGCAACGAATACTTTTATATAGTTAATCCCGTTTGTGACGTCACCAAAACTATCGTTAATGAGATCAAAAATTTATCAAAGATGGCGGACATCTCATTAGACATTACTTCAAGTGAAAATATTTCAAGAACTATGCAAGGTATGAAAAATCGTTAATATATAGTTTCAAAAGTTGTTATATTGCCATTTCCCTTTAATGTTAACTTGTACCATCGTTGGGGAAATTCATGTACATGTACATGTACAAATGAAGAGAGCTTCTGTCTTTTGACCAGAGGCACCAAGATGCAGGGGAGACGAATAGAAAGAACACATCTCCAATATATAGACACTCGGACATACAAAGTCATTCTTAAAACGATAAATAGAAAGGGATAAAACTATTTACGAGGATTTCCTGGTTTTCTTTCTTTAAGACATGTCTAACACGCCTCACTCCAGGCCGTACCCACTGAGTTATAATATATCTGGAGGAAGTGCTCGGCATGAACCAGTGTCGTCAAAAACATGGTGAATTTTCACGTCTGCTAACGCCAGAATGACGCCACTGTCCCAAATCCTCATGGTAATTATCACTGACCAACCGCGATCCTCGGCTTAAGACGACGATTTCATCTTTCATTTTGCTTGTTTTTTTATACAAAAAACAAACTTAATACAATTTACAAACTCAAACAACTTCGCAAAAATTCCTCGTTTATGCTCGGCTTATGGATGCCACAATACTTTCTCAAGGCAGGATATTTCTTCTCACCGGTAAGAAATCGTAAAAATCTTTAATAATTCATGAGAAAAATTTAAAAATTAATATTAATAACTGACTGTGTGGATCTGCAGACATGGACACGAAATGTATACCAATGTCAAAACCCGTCGTTTCAAAAAGCAGAGATTGTATATTTATTATATTTTTAGTTTACCAATCACCCGAGCACTCACTAGACATTAGTTATTGTACGTTGCAAGTTTCTATTGCTTTTTATTTTTATATTACCAATACCGCAGTAAAAATTGACCTGTTTTTTAAAATTAAAATTTTCAAACATACAAACTGAAAGTGGCGTCGGTTGTATATTTATGTATTATATATAGTGGACAGGGTACTGCTAAATGGTTTGTGTGGACAATGACATACTCTAACTTATATCTAAGGGAAGTTTATACGAGTTTCAAAAAATGGATTTTTTAAAATATATATTGCCTTTTGAGAAACATTTTATAAATTATATTTGAGTTTTATAAATTATACTTGGACTTTTCACTAGATTCTTTACTCCGAAGATATCCGACATGTAAATTATCGTGTACAGTATAGTATATGCAATCAGAAATGGGTTAATGGTATCAAAAACATTGACATCACATGCATGCATATCAGTTCATGACAAATTCAATTTGGGTTAATAAAATGTGTACCCTGGATTCCAGAGCCTTCGACAGTATATAATAAATTGTAACGGCGCGAAGGCTCTGGTTCAACGGGACGATTCTTTGATTAAACCGCGCGAATCACTGGCGCGCCAATCACTGGCAATTCTTTGATTAAACCGCGCCAATCCTTTTGTGATTGGCACGGTTTAATCAAAGAATCTTCTCGTTCAACCAGAACCTTCGCGACGTTTCAATTTATTATTTACTGTCGAAGGCTCTGGATTCCAGGGTATAAAATGTGAGGCCTCAAAGAAATATATGGTAATTTATGTTACTACTGAGTCTGAGTGGTGGCCATATCTGAAATTATAATATAGTCGTCCACCATATATTAATTTAATTTTAATTTAATTTAATTTTAATTTAACAGCTTTGTTTGGCACACATGCAAAGAGGCACACATTATTGTACATAACTAGCACAAACTAACACAAGAATAACAATAAGTAAAAACGTGCCAAAGATGGAGAAGCACAAACGAGACTAGGGTCCATGCATGGTGCTCACCATTAATCAGGACAGTACAGACAAAACAACACATTAATATAGAATAGAAAAAGTACATGAGAAGAAGTAAAGAAATTAAGAGAGAGGAGAAGAGAACGACTGATATAGGAGATATTATTCAGTCGTGATCAATGAGTGTGAGCTAGGTAAGTCAGGAGTGTAAGCAGTGGCAGTAAGTTGGAGGTAAGTCTTGTGGAGGTATGTTTTGAAGGAGGAGAGAGTGTCGAAGCTGTTCGAAGGAGCAGTTTTACATGCATAGTTCCACAGATTTACAATCCTAACAAAGTAGGAACCCTGGAATGTGCTAGTCTTACAAGCTTGTGATCTTAAAAGCTGAGAAGTTCCCGCACGTGTTCTGCTTGTCGTAGTTTCCACATAATGTTCCACGTCAAGATCTATCAAATTGTTCTTGCATTTATAATAAAAGATCAGATCTTTCTGTTCTTTATCGTACACAAGCGGGACTAGATTGAGTTTTTTTAACCGTTCCACATAAGAAAGTTCTCCACGTTTTTTCGTTAGGATCCACATTGTTGCTCTCCTCTGGACACCTTCGATTTTTATTGAGAGCTGCCTGCTACTGGGACACCAGACTTCACATCCGTACGTGAGCTGAGTTTTAACCAACGTCAAATACAAGGTCCGCCTAACTTGGGTGTTCGTAATTTCAAAGCATGTTCTTTTAAGAAGACCAAGCATTTTGTTTGCCTTTGCAACCATCTTTAATATATGAGGGCCCCATTTCAGATCGCTAGATACAAGAAGGCCAAGATCTTTTTCGGCTTTGCATGATGATAACTCATTTCCATACATACGGTATGGGAATTCAATCGGCTTCCATTTTCTTGTAACCGTCAACACCTTGCACTTTCCTGTGTTGAATTTCATCCTCGATTTCGTACTCCATTTTTCCAGCATGGTCAAGTTTTCTTGTAACGACTGGCAGTTGTCTACTGATCTTATTTCACTGTATAATTTTGCGTCATCTGCATACAATGCGGTGTTTGTACTCGATGATACATTGTCGGGAAGATCATTTATAAATATTGCGAAAAGTAATGGTCCCAGAATGCTACCTTGCGGTACACCAGATGTAACAGGAGACCATGAAGATGCTGCGCCCTCGATAACAACTCTCTGCTGTCTGTCGTTCAAATAACTTTCGAACCAATGTAGAAGAGAACCATTTATACTATGTATGTGTAGCTTTTGTAGCAGAATATTGTGATCTACCGAGTCAAACGCTTTCGAGAAATCGAGGTATAAAACATCCACCAGTCTATTGTTATCCAGACTTTTCCCTATGTCGTGTAATACACTCAGAAGCTGTGTCACACATGAATGATTCCATAAGAAACCGTGTTGAACGTTATTGATTAGTACACAAATGAATGGATAGATGTTGTTAAAAACGCATCTCGAGAACTTTGGAAACAATTGGCAGCAGAGAAATAGGTCGATAGTTTGTCACCGGTTAGACACAGTCCTTCTTGTGAATTGGTATCACATTTGCTTTCTTCCACTCTCTTGGAACGCGACCTGTTTCTATTGATGTGTTGAACAAACTGCAGAGGCTTGATGATATCTCCTTAGAGCATTCTTTAAGTAGACGTGGTGGTATTCCATCAGGACCATAAGCTTTTGATGTGTCCAAGTTGTTAAGGTAACGCTCTACTTCGCATTCCGAAATTTCAATGCTAGATATTTTCTCACACGTTTTTGGATTCATACAGTCCTGGTTAATGTTCTTTATTGTGGACTTTGGAAGGAAAACAGAGGCGAAGTATTCATTAAAAAGTTCAGCCTTTTTGTTCGGCGTTGATGCAGTTACGTTGTTATAGGTGTTGGATGATGGAGCATTCCTACTGCGGAGAATATGTTTATGGTAGGACCAGAATAACTTTGGTGAACGTGTGAGGGAATCTTGAACTCTTTCCAAATACTGTAGATATATGCCAAGTTGTGTAATTGTACACTCCGTAATATGTTAAGATGAAAATGTTCTTAGAACATTTCTTAGAACATTTTCATCTTAATATATATATATAGGAACAGGTTTTTGGAATCATGCCTGGTATATATATAATTTTTTATTTAAAAAATTTAAAAAAGACTTCTACAGGCAATAAAAAATTTAAAAATTTTTGTCCCAACAATATTTTAAATTTTAGCTCGTTATTGTCCACATTCCACCCTTTTTATTTAAATTTAGTCTAGCTTTGTAGTATATATTCAACGGACGTGATCTAGTTATAACATTCCCCTCAAGAAGCCTTAACCGGCGAAATGTTGGGACAAAATTTTTTATTGCCTGTAGAAGTCTTTTTTAATATATATATATATATATATATATATATATATATATATATATATATATATATATATATATATATATTTATATATATATATATATATATTTATATATATATATTTATATATTTATATATATTTATATATTTATATATATTTATATATATTTATATATTTATATATATTTATATATATTTATATATATTTATATATATTTATATATATTTATATATATTTATATATATTTATATATTTATATATATATATATATTTATATATATTTATATATTTATATATATATATATATTTATATATATATATATGTGTGTGTTTTTCAACTCAAAATTCCTTAAAAATTCTATTTCCTTAAAAGTCTCCTTAAGAAGGTCAAAATTTCCTCAGTTTAAGAAAATTTCCGTAAAAATTAGAGCCCTGGTTTAATGCCATCATAGACAATCCAGAAGACATGTCTTCTGTCCTTGCCTGTCTATAGCAGACATTGACAACATCTATTTATTATTCATGTTTCGCTCGCTACTCTGGTTTAAATAAATGATTACAAAGCCCAGTCGAATTGTAATCAAGACCCAATGTTTCGACACTCCAGTCTAGTGTCTTCATCAGGGGTGATCTAAAACTGCGATCGTGGCTTCTTAAATACCCAAGGGATGACGTCACCTGCCAAGAAGATGCATATATTCCTCTGGCAAATAGGCACCGTCATCCCTATTCAAAGCATGATGACTCATATTTATATGCCACGCTTCTAGGCAAATGGTAATTACTTTAGAGTTTTCCCACGCAATCTCGTGTTTGGTGTAACATACATGTTCGGCTAAAGCTGATTTTCCCTTGTCTAAAGTTGAAACAGCCTTTTGATGTTCTTTTAGCCGTGTACCAAACTGGCGTTTAGACTGACCCTAATACTCTTTGTCGCAGTCACCGCATGGTATAGAATATATAGCATGAGTCTTCTGATTTTTTTCAACAGGATCTTTTGGCTTTGCGAAAATATGGCCTAAAGTCAAATAGGGTTTTAAGGCAACCTTAATATTACAATTACTTAAGATTCTCTTGATTGATTCTGTGACACCTTGAATGTATGGAACTATTGCAAAACCCTTAACAGAGGTATCACCCTCGGAGTTATTTTGGTTCCTACAAACAGGTGGTCTCAGGCAATCATTAAGAAAACGCTTTGGGTAATTGTTTTCCCCTAAAACATTTAGAACATATTCACGTTCATTAGCTTGAGAATCACTGTTTGACGGCAACGATTCAGCTCTTTGAAGCAAAGTTTTTGCTACGGATCTTTTATGGCTTACTGGGTGATGAGAGTCGTATGACAAGTATTTGTCTCTGTGTGTGGGTTTGCGATAAACATCAGTCTCTAACTTCCCTTTGACAGTTCTGTGTACATTCAAATCTAAAAAAGCTAAATGTCCATTTATTTCACGTTCTACCATGAATTGGATGGACGGCTCAATAGAATTTAAATGCTGCAGCAGAATATCGATCTCATTTGTAGAAACCACAGAGATGACATCATCGACGAAACGTTTCCAAAACGATAGGGACACCGGAACAGAGGCTAAAGCTCTTTGTTCGACATCTTCCATTACTAAATTAGCAATTACTGCCGAAACTGGTGACCCCATCGCTGTTCCAAAAACCTGTTGATAATAACAGCCCTCAAACACAAAGTATGTGGCGTGGAGACAAAAAGACAGAAGATCAATAATATCTTCTACAGGCAAGGATGTTCTTTGTAACAAAGTGGCATCCTGTCTTAGTCTTTTTGCCGCAACCTTGATGGCAAGATCAACTGGGATATTTGTAAACAAGGAAACGACATCAAATGGTATCATTTGATGTCGTTTCCTTGTTTACAAATATCCCAGTTGATATATATAAAAAATAAATATCCCAGTATTTTGTGTTTGAGGGCTGTTATTATCAACAGGTTTTTGGAACAGCGATGGGGTCACCAGTTTCGGCAGTAATTGCTAATTTAGTAATGGAAGATGTCGAACAAAGAGCTTTAGCCTCTGTTCCGGTGTCCCTATCGTTTTGGAAACGTTTCGTCGATGATGTCATCTCTGCGGTTTCTACAAATGAGATCGATATTCTGCTGCAACATTTAAATTCTATTGAGCCGTCCATCCAATTCACGGTAGAACGTGAAATAAATGGACATTTAGCTTTTTTAGATTTGAATGTACACAGAACTGTCGAAGGGAAGTTAGAGACTGATGTTTATCGCAAACCCACACACACAGACAAATACTTGTCATACGACTCTCATCACCCAGTAAGCCATAAAAGATCCGTAGCAAAAACTTTGCTTCAAAGAGCTGAATCGTTGCCGTCAAACAGTGATTCTCAAGCTAATGAACGTGAATATGTTCTAAATGTTTTAGGGGAAAACAATTACCCAAAGCGTTTTCTTAATGATTGCCTGAGTCCACCTGTTTGTAGGAACCAAAATAACTCCGAGGGTGATACCTCTGTTAAGGGTTTTGCAATAGTTCCATACATTCAAGGTGTCACAGAACCAATCAAGAGAATCTTAAGTATAATTATAACATTAAGGTTGCCTTAAAACCCTATTTGACCTTAGGCCATATTTTCGCAAAGCCAAAAGATCCTGTTGAAAAAAATCAGAAGACTCATGCTATATATTCTATACCATGCGGTGACTGCGATAAAGAGTATTTGGGTCAGTCTAAACGCCAGTTTGGTACACGGCTAAAAGAACATCAAAAGGCTGTTTCAACTTTAGACAAGGGAAAATCAGCTTTAGCCGAACATGTATGTTACACCAAACACGAGATTGCGTGGGAAAACTCTAAAGTAATTACCACAAACAATCGTTACGGTCAAAGACTTTGCCTAGAAGCGTGGCATATAAATATGAGTCATCATGCTTTGAATAGGGATGACGGCGCCTATTTGCCAGAAGAATATATGCATCTTCTTGGCAGGTGACGTCATCCCTTGGGTATTTAAGAAGCCTCGATCGCAGTTTCAGATCACCCCTGATGAAGACACTAGACTGGAGTGTCGAAACGTTGGGTCTTGATTACAATTCGACTGGGCTTTGTAATCATTTATTTAAACCAGAGTAGCGAGCGAAACATGATTGATATACCTGGTTGCAGTGAACGAACAAACTTTATAAGATATAGGAGAG